TACTCATAATTATTAGTTTATAAATAATTAACTTATATAAGTAAATAGTTAGTTAATTAATTATAAATGTTTATTTAATAACTTATTATTTGATATATTACAATTAATTTTTTGTAATTATTCTTTAAATAATAATTAATTAGTAATTATCAATTCTTAAAGATTATTCATCAGTATATTACACACCTAGTAATTATAATCTTAATATTAATTATTAATTGAGAAATTACTATTTATTTATTACTCATCAACTATTTACTTATTAATAGATTATAATCAATATATATGATTGATATATTAATTATTTATTATTTATTTTATAACTTATTATAAATTATTCTATTATTAATATATTATATAATCAATTTTTGACAATTAATCTTTAACTAAATAATTCATTATAATTTATTATTTACTATTTTTTATTAATAAATTACAAACTTAAGAATAAGAAATCAATATTTAATTAATAATTAAGTAATTACTATCTATTTATTGGCAAGGTCTTTAATCTGGCACTCACTGTTTGCCGGACTGAAACGGTAGATGTATAATTTTGCCGTTTTCATGTATATTTATATGTAAGGTGTGTATATTTACATGTAAAGATGTATATGTTAAATTATAAGAAATGACAATGTATATTAATCCTCGAAACATGTATTTTTTATAGCAATTAAGTGAACACGTAGCATAAAAATATGTATATTGGCTGATTTATTGTATTTCATATTAATGAACGTAAGCGACAATGTATATATCGAAATATGCTTTTAGTATCTTGTGTTCTTGATAATATTTAAATGATACCTCAACATTTTTAAAAACATATTCTTGGTACTCTGAAGTTGATTTTTAAGATGTAAAATGACCTTAGTACTCTTTTACTTAATCGAAATCTAATAAATCTAGAAAAAAATCATGAACTTTTTATTTTATTATTTTCCTTTAAATATTTTAATGTCTTAAAATATTTTCATTTTTTTAAGAAACTAGTAAAAGTAGGCACGTGCAATTGCATGAATTTGACTGTTACATTTATTGTCTATTAGAAAAATAATTTTATGATGTAAACAAATAAGTTCTAACTAATTGCCATACTCTATTATTTTTCTTAACATTTAGACCGCACAGCTTATTTTGACGGGGTGAGTTTTGTAGATTCGGAAGCCACGTTCAGAACGTAATTCAAATATTATTTAATTTGACCAATTTTTTTAAGCTCTAACTAAGAGAAAACAGTAGATAACAAATAAGTAAAAAGTACAAAAAGTGAAGAACATAGAAGGAAACACAAATTAAACCGTTTTTTCTTAAGACTTAAGTAAGAGAAAACAATAGATGACAAGTAGATTAAAAATACAAGAAATGATAAGGGCATAAATAGAAACACAAAACTAGTACATAAACGTAAATAAAAAGTACAAAAGGTAAATAACATAAATGAAAACACAAATTAAACCGTTTTTTTTTCTTAAGCTCTAAGTAAGAGAAAATAGTAGATAACAAATAAGTGAAAAATACGAAAGGTGAATGATATAAATGGAAACACAAATTAAACCGGATTTTTTCTTAAGCCTTAATTACAAGAAATAGTAGATAACAAGTAAGTAAAAAGTACAAAATGTGTAAATCTGATGGCCACAATTTTTGAGCGGATCAGTCAGGTAAAATTGATGTGCTGGATTAGAGACTCATCCTTAATATGTATATTGGTTTATTTGTTGTATTTCATGTTATTGATTTGTTTTTTTCCAATTAATCACTTCCTCATCGGTGTCTTGTTGTTCAAAGTCATCCTCCCCGTCAAACAAACCCATAATTTTACCAAACAACTCCACTGTGGGGACAAATGTCTTCCCGTAAATAGTCAATGAGCAATTCTCCTTTTTAAAGTTGTCCACCATCCACATAATCACGCATATATCGGCAACTATTGTCTTGAACTCGCTTTCAAAGATGGCAACTTAGCACTGGGGAAACTGGCACCAACATCAATTGTCAGCTCACTAGTAGTGCTCGCCTGTGTTTTCAATAAACCTGCTCAGTCACTTTTGTTAAACTTGCAATTTAATTTCAGAACTTGAGGTGGTACGAATGGCTCTTTCCCCTACTATAAAACTGTAAAAGCTGCTACTTTTACTAAACTCTTCCCCCCTCCATAAACGATTAAGCCTCACACTTTTTTTTTTAAACTAATTACGCCTCTCTCTGTTTTGTCCAGACATCATCCCTTGTCTCTCACATATACACGTGGCCACCAACCTCACTCTTCCTTCTCCCTTTTCTCTTCGTTAAACACATGGCCAATAAAAGCTGCCACTTGCAGTGTACGGAAGCTAGTACCTACGAATGCTTCTGCAAGGACGTGATGAATCCCATCCGTCCATTTCCATCGAACGGCTGAAAATCACTTACCGGATGAGTCAGGTAAATAGTTGCTGCCGGACTAAAGACCATTCCCTATTTATTAGTTATTAATTAATATATAATATAATTAGTAATTAATAAATAATTATTTAATACAACATTGTTCATAAGTATTAAAAAATGAAAACGGAAGAATGAAAATAGTTTCTTACTTGCTTTATAGAAACTATTTTCGTTTTTACTTGCTCAATGTTTTTTGTTTTTGTTTTTATTTTTCAAAATATTTACTAACTAAACGTAGTTTGCAAACCAATCATGTTTTCGTGCCCAGAATTGTTTTTAAAAACAAGTTGAATACAATTTCAAACATGCCAATAGTTTTCTCCATCTTCGAGGAACCAACTCCTGTTCCTTTTAATGTCCCTCCAGTAATATTGGGACACGCGCCAGGTCAATTAAAGATTCTTATCACGTCAATTAAAAAGACATGACGTGACATGTTATTATTGTGAAATACGGAAGTGGACAAGAAAAAGGGGGCATATGAACCCAATCCCATCTCGAAGCCTTAAAACAAAGGACAAATTTTATAAATTGCATCTGAATTTTGTTACTTGTGTCAACATACCTCCTGAACTTTAAAATGTGCATGTTGTGCCCCTCTGAACTTTGTCACTTGTGTCGACATGCCCTTGAGGTTAGCTCTGTTAAGTTTTTTTTAACAAAAATACTTATAAATGCCCCCTGGTTAAGCATTAATTCTCAAAACATTATTGGTTAGAGGCAATAGAGGGAAAAAAATGAGGAGCAAATCTGTATAATAATGTAATAAATTTTCTTAGTTTTTTTTGTTAATATTTCTAATTGATAGAAGTGCTCGACATAAAACATGTTTATGCTTCATACATATATAGCATTTCTAAATCTAAATGCGCTCAAGTCATTTATTTTATTGTACTTTTTTTTCTTAAAAAAAAAAAACAACACAAACCTTAAGACCATTAACTTAACAAATTTTAATGGTCAAATATCATAGATAATTAGTAATTTAATGGTCATCTCACAATTTTCATTCAAAAAACTAATTAAATCAAGATGGAAGGAGAAAAATTGAAGATATATCATAGTTCAAGAGGTAAAACAGATATATTTTAAAGTTCATGAGGCATATTGAGACAATGAATAAAATTTAGGAGATATTTATAAATATTTTCGTTAAAATACTTAACTGAGTTAACCTTAGAAGGTATGTTGAGACAAATAATAAAATTCACAAGTATAATATACACATTTTAAAATTTAAGATATGTTGATATAAATGACCAAATTTAAAGAGAATTTATAAAATTTGTCCTCAACAAGTTATATCGGAGGGTTTCCAGACAGAGAAACATGAAGGGATAAGGAAAGAAAGAAACGAAAAAAACAGAGGATATACAAATCCTCGACAGTTGTCCCTTCACGTCTCCTCTCCGAGGAAAAAAAAAAGAAAAAAAGAAAAGAAAAGAAATCATCCAAAATGAGCTTTTCTTCTCCGGCCAGGCAAGCTCTCACTTTCACTTTTCCTTTTCTCATTCTCAGTAATTATTTCGTCGAATTTGTATATCCTCTGACTTTAAAGTTTGGTTTTTGCAGTGCGTGTAGTTCTTTGGGATGGAAGTCCTCGAGCTTGTTTGCACAGCCAGGGCTAGTTTCTTCTGTTCATTTCAGAGGATTTTTGGTTTCTTCCAAAAACAAATCTCCCCACCAGAAATTTTCTGTATCGTGCTCTTCATCATCTTCAGGTCTTCTTCGCTAAAAAGTTTATATATTTCTTTTTATTGTTTCTTCGTTTGGGGCTTGTTGTTTTATTTATACGTAATGGGTTGTTCTCCAATCTGGGTTTTTCCTTTAGTATTGACGAAAGAGAATTCTATGGCTTTAGCCGTTTAAAAGGTATAATTAGGTGATAATATTTGTGGGTTTTTATTGCAATGTGAATCTGGGTAGTCCCAATGTACATCTTGTTTATTTATTTATTTCCGAAAATTGAGTTTGTAAGATAAGAAACTTTGTTAAGGAAGAAGTTGTACGACAAGGCATTGAACTAGAAATGGATGGTGCTTGAGAGGATGTATTTGGGCCTATATCAGTTAACTATGAGAAACAAAGGTTGGGGATTCTCTTTTGAAAAATGTTTATGTTCTCAGAACATAACATTTTATGGCTAAGAAGAATGTACAACCAATGGCCATGGAAGTTGAGTGAAATAGTTTCTGGACAATGGGATGTTGAGCTTCGGTAGAGCTTTATTTGGATGGACAAGTTAGTATAAAAAGTTTGGGATTGTGCTTAGAATGTAATCTAGTATTATATGTTTGTATACTCATAAAAGCGAACATATTTCGTGTTAGGACACGTCATAGTTGAGTATCAAATTTCGTAAATCAAGCGAGTACTTCTTACATGTACCAGAATGGACATTTGCTACTGTGCAGGCCGCATTTATATTTGAAGAAACTGTGAGATAGTGTCATTAAGTGAAATGGTGTATGCATAAGCTTCATAGAGGCTTCTATTTATGTCAATTATGAGATTGGTAAAAATATGAGGAACTATAAACAAGTTGTATTTAATATGTATGGCTTGTATTGTACTTGAAATGACTTGTTCCGATTTCCAAAGATGACAATGGTTACTAATTTGTTGAAAATATGGGCGACTAAAGATGCCTGAGTTATGTGTAACTGTCTCATTGTGTTTTTCATGTCATTCAGATCCTCTCTTGGTTAAAGCAGCAAGAGGGGATCCTGTAAGTCGGCCTCCAGCATGGATGATGCGACAGGCGGGAAGGTATATGGCTGTTTACAGAAAGCTCGCAGAGAAATACCCATCCTTCAGAGAGAGATCAGAGACAACTGATCTCATCGTGGAAATTTCTTTGCAGCCTTGGAAGGCTTTCCGTCCGGATGGAGTTATTATTTTCTCGGACATACTTACCCCTCTACCTGCATTTGGCGTTCCATTTGACATAGAAGAAGTTAGGGGTCCTATTATTCAGTCGCCAATTACTTCCGAAGAGGGCTTGAAGACTTTGCATCAGATTGACTTGGAAAAACTGCATTTTGTGAGGGAGTCCTTGAAAATATTACGCAGTGAGGTGATCTTTAGATGCTTTTAAAAGAAAACGAAGTGACGTGGATCCAAATTAATTAGGATTATTTGGGATTGATTTCCTTGATTAGGGGTTTCATTTTGTTGATTGGGATTGATTTTCAAATCAATTGGGATTGATTTTCAAATCAATTGGGATTGATTTTCAAATCAATTGGGATTGATCTTAATTCTGTTTCTATGCATTTATTTAATTTAGTTATTTAGTTTTCCATTTTAATCACGTAATTAGCCTATAAATTGGCTACATTGTTAGAAGATAATTCACACTATTATGATTGGTTATTGAAAGAATTTCAGAATTGGTCTACCTCCTAAATCTCTTCTCCCTATCCCCAATTTCTCTTCTATTTTTCTCTCTATTTCTCTCAATTTCTATTCTAAGTCTTTTCTCTCCCTCTTCTTTAACTTCTCTATTTCCCTTTCTTTCTTCCCCCTTATTCTGCATGACCATGTTAATTTATAATGAATTACATATTTGTTTATTCCTTCCGATAAATCCTTTTATATGTTTTCCCCAATTTATTTAGGTTGGCGACCGTGCTGCTGTTTTGGGTTTTGTTGGAGCACCTTGGACGATAGCTACGTATATAGTTGAAGGGGGTACGACTCGCACATATACAACCATAAAGAGAATGTGTCATACAGCACCACATGTATTGAGGGCCCTTCTGTCTCATTTGGCACAGGCAATAACCGAATACATTGTTTTCCAAGTGGAATCTGGTGCTCATTGCATACAAATATTTGATTCATGGGGTGGACAACTAACACCTGAGATGTGGGAGCACTGGTCAAAACCTTATATAGAAGAGGTGAGGTTGAAGGCACATATTACAAATTCTTTTCTTTTGATTCCATAGCTTGATACAAATTATCATGAGTCGACTTTGTTGGCAAGTCAAAAGCCATTGATTTATTAGTCTTTGTTGTACATTGTTTACTTCTAAATTTTCTTATTTCCATGCATAGACTACATTGTACAGTAGTCGTTTATGCTTAGTGTTAGAAATATCAAGTTAGTTAGATGGTTAGCCATAGAATAAGGGATTCTCGGCTAACTCCTTTGTTTATGTTTTTTTGTTATGTTAGTTCCTAGATTTGCGGTTTAGTATTTCCTTTCCTATGTATGTATGACTATTTAAGTCTTAAGTGATTTAATAAAAGATTACCGAAGTTCATTCATAAAACTTTCATGGTATCAGAGCCTTGGCTCTATAGAAACACAAAAAAAAAAAAAAAAACCGTGATGGAGAAAACTGGTACTGGAAAACCAACATGGTCGATGGTCACGGCAAAAACTTCGGGGACAATTTCTACGACTACGACAAGCAGCAATGCTGACCAACTAGGAGCAGCCATGTCCTTGCAAATTTCCGTTCACAAACTAAACGGAAAAAATTACTTGGAATGGGCACAATCGGTCAAGCTCGTTGTTGATGGTCGAGGGAAATTCGGACATCTGACTGGAGAAGAAAAAAACCCAGGGGAGACAGATCCACACTTCAAGACATGGAGATCGGAGAACTCATTGGTGACTGCGTGGCTTCTCAACTCGATGGAACCAGCAATTGCCAAGCCTCATATGTTCCTACCGACAGCCTTAAGTCTTAAGTGATTTAATAAAAGATTACCGAAGTTCATTCATAAAACTTTCATGGTATCAGAGCCTTGGCTCTATAGAAACACAAAAAAAAAAAAAAAAACCGTGATGGAGAAAACTGGTACTGGAAAACCAACATGGTCGATGGTCACGGCAAAAACTTCGGGGACAATTTCTACGACTACGACAAGCAGCAATGCTGACCAACTAGGAGCAGCCATGTCCTTGCAAATTTCCGTTCACAAACTAAACGGAAAAAATTACTTGGAATGGGCACAATCGGTCAAGCTCGTTGTTGATGGTCGAGGGAAAGTCGGACATCTGACTGGAGAAGAAAAAAACCCAGGGGAGACAGATCCACACTTCAAGACATGGAGATCGGAGAACTCATTGGTGACTGCGTGGCTTCTCAACTCGATGGAACCAGCAATTGCCAAGCCTCATATGTTCCTACCGACAGCCAAGGAGGTGTGGGATTCAATCCGGGAGACGTATTATGATCTCGAAAATTCATCTCAAATTTTCGAGATAAAAACGAAACTTTGGCAAGCAAAGCAAGGAGATCGAGACGTGACAGACTTCTATAATGAAATGGTGACATTATGGCAAGAACTGGATCAGTGTCATGATGATCAATGGGAAAATAGCCAAGATTGTGCGAGATTCAAGAAGAGAGAGGAAAATGATCGTGTTTACATGTTCCTCGCAAGTGTGAATAAGAGTCTTGATGAAGTCAAGGGGAGAATTCTCGGGCGAAGGCAACTACCGTCCATCCGTGAGGTTTTTTCAGAACTTAGGATGGAAGAAGGCAGAAGGAAGATCATGCTTGGGAATTCTGGACTACAGGACATATCTGAACAAGAAGGATCTGCACTGGCTGCACGATCAACAGAAGGAGATCAAGACATAAGGAATAAGCCTTGGTGTGATTACTGCAAAAAATTCTGGCACACCCGTGAGACATGCTGGAAGATCCATGGTAAGCCACAAGGAGGAAAGAAGCGACCTGAAAGGGCTCTTCAGACCGTCGCTGAGAATTCTCAAGAACCACAAGTTAACTTAGGATCATCTCCATTCACGAAGGAACAATTAGAACATCTTGTTAAATTGTTTCAATCTCCACAATTTTCTGGTAGTCCGTCTTGTTCCTTTGCTCAAAATGGTAATAGTCCTGTCCTTTCTTTCTCATGTGTCAAATCCAATTGTTCTTGGATTATTGATTTTGGGGCAACTGACCACATGATAGGTTGTTCAAGTATTTTCTCATCCTATAAACCATGTGCAGGAAATAGGAAAGTAAAAATTGCAGATAGCTCTTTTTCAGCCATAGCAGGAATTGGAGCTGTCAAAATTTCACCATCGTTTATTCTTTCCAACGTGCTGCATGTCCCTAATCTAACCTGTAATCTTGTGTCAATTAGCAAATTAACTCGACTTAAAATGTCGATGTTAATTTTTTCCCATCTCATTGTGAATTTCAGGAAATGGTCTCGGGGAAGATGATTGGTAATGCTAGAGAGTGTGAAGGTCTCTATCTTCTAGACGAAGGATCTCAATCAAATAAAACAGTCCAAGGAACCTGTTTGAAGTCTATTTCCGTTTCTAGTAACAATGAGATATATTTGTGGCACTTTAGATTAGGTCATCCTAGTTTTTATTATTTGCAACATTTATTTCCAAATCTATTCAAGAATAAGAATCCTTCTGATTTTCAATGTGAAATCTGTGCATTGGCAAAACATCATAAAGCATCCTATTCTCCACGATCATACAAGCCTTCAAAACCATTTTCATTAATACATAGTGATATATGGGGTCCATCTCGAGTTTCAACATGTTTTGGAAAAAGATGGTTTGTTACTTTAATTGATTATCATACAAGACTGAGTTGGGTTTATTTACTAAAGGAAAAATCTGAGGTAGAATCAATTTTCAAAAATTTCTATCATATGGTTCAAACTCAATTTCAAACTAACATCCAAGTGTTTAGAAGTGATAATGGCAGAGAATACTTCAAACATATTTTGGGACAGTTTTTTGCTGAAAAAGGAATTGTTCAACAGAGTTCGTGCAACAATACTCCACAAGAGAATGGAGTTGCTGAAAGAAAAAATAGACATATTTTGGAAGTTGCACGGGCCTTGTTATTTACCAATAATGCTCCAAAATATCTTTGGGGAGAGGCGGTTTTAACATCAATTTATTTGATTAATCGACTGCCATCAAAAGTTTTAAAGTTTCAAGCTCCACTCAGCCTTTTTCAAAAAATGTTTCCAACATCACGAATATTCTCTTCATTACCTTTACGTGTATTTGGTTGTACTGTGTTTATTCACAGTCAAGATAAAACCCGAGGAAAACTTGATCCTCGAGCAACCAAATGCGTGTTTGTTGGTTTTGCAGCAAATCAAAAAGGCTTTAAATGTTTTGACCCTGTTTCAAAGAAAATATACATCACTATGGACGTTTTGTTTTTTGAAAACAAACCATATTTTGCAGCTCATCTTCAGGGGGAGAATAGGCATGAAGATTCATTTTTTAAAAGTCTCAACCACTCGGATTCACAAGCCCTGGATTCTTGCAGGTTTGAACAGATGCCTGATTCCCAGGATTTTCTCAGGATTGAACAAATCACTGATTCTCCTGAAAACCAGCAAATTTTTAAAAACCAACACCACAATTCGGATTCAAGTCCCAAGATTTTTTCAAATTCGGATCCAGAACTAATCAGGGATTTTGAAAACAATTCAAATTCTGTGGACTTGAATTCGAACATGGAGGAAGAATCTGTTGAAACCGAAAACGGGAAAAACAAGGAATCTGAAATTCAAAAACAAAAGGATTCTTCAATTGAAATTCAAAATTCAGAAAGAGGTATGGCACCCATAGTATCTCAACAAATAACTACCAACGGAAATAGAAGTCAAACAGGGAAAGTATTTGGACAAATTTATGAGAGAAAGTTCCCTCATCGGAAGACAGGTACCAAAGCCTCTCAGCCTTGCCAAGAATCTAACTTAGAACCAGAAAATCCTGAAGTTGAGTCCTCTATTCAAAAATCAGAGTTGTCTGGTGAGTTAGATATTCCAATAGCCATCCGAAAAGAAAAACGCTCATGCACCAAATATCCCATGTCCAACTTCGTGTCTTATAAAAGGCTTTCCCCTCGTTTTCTTGCTTTCACCACTAATGTTTCTTCTGTGGAGATTCCTAACAATATACAGGATGCTTTAAAAAGTCGAGAGTGGAAGAAGGCAGTTCTAGAGGAGATGAGTGCTCTTGAGAAAAATAAGACATGGAGAGTAGAGGAGTTGCCAAAGGGAAAATCAATAGTGGGCTGCAAATGGGTTTTCACCACCAAATACCGAGCTGATGGAACACTTGAAAGATACAAAGCTAGATTAGTTGCCAAAGGATTCACACAAACATATGGTGTGGATTACATGGAGACTTTTGCACCCGTGGCTAAACTTAATACTGTTCGGATTTTGTTATCTATTGCAGTGAACCGGGATTGGCCATTGCAGCAACTAGACATGAAGAATGCCTTCCTTAATGGAGATTTAGAAGAAGAAGTCTTCATGGAACCACCCCCCAGATTTGAGGACAAGTTTGGGTCAAAAGTGTGCAGGTTAAAAAAATCTTTTTACGGACTCAAGCAATCTCCAAGAGCATGGTTTGACAGGTTCACGCGATCTGTAAAAGGTCAAGGTTATGTTCAATCTCAGTCCGATCACACTATGTTTTTTAGGTTCTCTGAGCCAGGGAAGGTAGCGGTACTGATTGTGTATGTAGATGATATCATTCTCACCGGAGATGATTTCGTGGAGATGGAAAGACTTAAAAGGGGGCTTTCCAAGGAGTTTGAAATCAAGGACCTTGGAGAACTGAAGTATTTCCTAGGTATGGAGATTGCAAGATCCAGAAAGGGCATCATTGTTTCACAACGAAAATACATCCTAGACCTTCTAAAGGAAACGGGTATGAGTGGCTGTAAACCAACAGACACACCAATAGACCCAAATAAAAAGCTGGGAGAAGCAAAGCAAGGGGTACCGGTAAACACTTCCCAATATCAAAGATTGGTAGGAAAGTTAATTTATTTGTCGCACACTCGTCCAGACATTGCATTTGTAGTAAGTATGATCAGCCTGTTTATGCATTCACCATGTGAAGAACATCTAGAGGCAGCTTATAGAGTATTGAGGTACTTAAAGAGTTGTCCAGGGAAGGGGTTGTTCTTTAAAAAGGGGGAAGACAGAAGAGTTGAAGTTTTTTCTAATGCGGATTGGGCTGGTTTGGTTACAGACAGGAAATCAACATCGGGATACTTCACCTTTGTGCGGGGCAACCTCGTTACTTGGAGAAGTAAAAAGCAAAACGTAGTTGCAAGGAGCAGTGCTGAAGCAGAGTTTAGATCAATGGCCAATGGTGTGTGTGAAGTATTATGGGTTCAACGTGTACTTCAGGAGTTAAAGCAACAAGTCCTACTACCAATACGATTGTATTGTGATAATAAGGCAGCTATTAGCATAGCCCACAATCCAGTCCAACACGACAGAACAAAGCATGTTGAGGTGGATAGACATTTCATAAAAGAAAAGCTAGAGGCCGGACTCATTTGTACCCCGTTTGTACCAACAACAGAGCAACTTGCAGACATCCTAACTAAGGAATTGTTTAGACCAATGTTTGACTCATTTGTAAACAAGTTAGGCATGATTGACATCTATGCACCAACTTGAGGGGGAGTGTTAGAAATATCAAGTTAGTTAGATGGTTAGCCATAGAATAAGGGATTCTCGGTAAGTCCTTTATTTATGTTTTTTTGTTATGTTCCTAGATTTGCGGTTTAGTATTTCCTTTCCTATGTATTTATGACTATTTAAGTCTTAAGTGATTTAATAAAAGATTACCGAAGTCCATTCATAAAACTTTCACTTAGAATATCATAATTGGCATCGCCATGAACCTCTATGTTTCAGATTTAAAAAGCTTTTTGCTTACTCTACAGAATTATAAGATATTGCAATATTTAGTTTACTGCTGTGTTGCGGTTATCTTATTATGTCTTTTTATTTCCTTGGAAACACAAGAGAGAATTGCATTAAGGGATAATGATCTTGTTTTCTTCCTTGTGTTCATTATATATATTCTTGCAGATTGTGAGAGTAGTAAGAAAGAAATGCCCCAAAACACCTCTTGTTCTATACATCAATGGAAATGGTGGCCTTCTTGAACGTATGAAAGGAACTGGAGTTGACGTCATTGGACTGGACTGGACAGTTGACATGGCAGATGGAAGGAGACGATTGGGTAGTGGGATCGGTGTCCAGGGAAATGTGGACCCTGCTTACTTATTTTCTCCTCTTCCTGCCCTTACTGAAGAAATCCAAAGGTTTGTAGTGCGATATTTTCTGATTTAAGTACGATATTATCTTATTCAAATTTCATTATTTTTGATTAATTGTATACAGAAACTTTAGATTCTTGCTCATCTTTATTTGGGCAGTGTACTAACAAAACCATAGGTACTGACTACTAACTGAAATATAAAAGATTCCCAGTTGAGAACTGTCAGTTGGATAGAGATTGGTCATTGCAGTTGGTGAGGATTTGAATCCTACATATAGTGGATCAGTTTTTTGATTTTTTGTTTTTTTTTTTTGTTTTTGGTTTAATTAACTAGAAACCAAATATCAATGACAAATGCTATTGACATGGAAAAAGGTCTGGCACCAAGGCTTTAAAAGCCAAAGGTGAGCAGAATGTACGTCTACATACCAGCATGATTTTTAGCATATTAACTGATGTGAAAACTTGGAAAAGCCAGGAGTATTAGTAGAGTGCTTGATCTTTATTGAGGAATGATATTGTTATTTTGTTTCTTAATATTAATTCAGTTCCCATATTTTTCATCTTCTCCAAACTGAGAGAATCTCTTTGTCAGGGTTGTAAGATGTGCGGGACCGAGAGGACACATTCTGAATCTAGGACACGGTGTTCTTGTCGGAACTCCAGAAGAAGCCGTCGCACATTTCTTTGACGTCTCAAAAACATTGAAGTACGATGCGCCTCAAAATCATGCCGTAGAGGAACCGAAACTGGTAGCTTAAGGTAGAGTATTGGTTTAAGCACACCTAAGCATTTTTTTGTTTATAAATTTGGCTTTTGGTTCAGAGTTAGCAGCTTGTTCCGGAAATAGGCATGCAATTGGTTTTGCTATTAGCTAGTGTGCAGGTAAGAAGTTGACTGAAGCCCTGAGTTTCTTTTTACATGCTTAAGGGTGAGCATGCTAATTCAATAAATCTCTCTGTAACTAATGCTATTTTGACTAATGAACTGTTAGTTTTACTACCTGTCTAGTACGGTTTTTTTTCGCACGCAGACGGAAGAGAAGCAAGATTGATTTTAGGAATATCTACATTTTAATACCATGCGTTTTAGGTTTATTCAAAAAGTATACTTTCAGTTTCAAATTTCATCCAGTATATAGCAGTAAGTTAGATTTAATAAGCAAATGCATACCCTTACTAGAAAAAGAACTAAAAACTCAAATTAAGGTATCGTTCATTTTACCGATTCGAGTTTTTAGTTTTAAGTTTTAATAGTAAAAAGCTCTTAAAAAATATCACATTTAACTTTTTTTTTGCTACAGTGAAAAGTTATTAGAGAATGTCACATCTCAACTCGAATTAAAAAATCGAATGCGCGAAGTAAACGAAGTCTAAGGCCTCGTTCGTTTCGATGATTCGAGTTTAGAATTTGAGTTGAGATGTGATTGTATGTGAGAACTTTTTACTGTAGCAAAAAAGTTAGATGTGATTGTTTGTAAGAGCTTTTTACTGTAACAAAACTCGAATTCTAAACTCGAATCAGCGAAACGAACGAGGCCTAAATAGTTTCTTCCCACTAAAATCTAACGGAGGTGCCTCTTCCATCTCCAGATACAACAATCAGACTCATCCTCCTTCCTAACTTGATGGGGAAGCCTTTTCTTCTAATTGGCTTTCGGAGACCCACAAATTTTAGAGCTTTTCATTTGATTCAACATCACGACCATAAAAATCTGCCCCTTAAAATCCAAAATGAGATTTTCTTTTTTTTTTTTTTTTTTTTCCGCAGGAAACAATGATAAGGCAAATTCAAGAACTACTACGAAACCTAAACTTGATGGACTTGAATTCCGCACGTAAACATGATTTCAGTGGTCTTAATTTTCACTTTGAATCGAAACCGATTAGCCTATGGCCGGGAACCATTTGCCGGTGTGGAATGCACTTTTGGTGACTGAGCAAGTTGTTGAGCACTTTTGGGTCACAAAAGCGAGTCTCCACGCTCGTTTTGTCAATGTGAGGCCTTCTCATATCGGATTCGCGTCGCCATAGAAGCGCCCTTCTCAGGTTAGTCAACACGAGGCTCTCTTCCTGGATGCGGCGGCAGGGCATTCTCCGTTGGGTAAAGGCAACGATTAAGGAGTAAGGGATCTTCCCTTTTTCTCAACTTATTTATTTGGGCTTTTTTTTTTCCTTATTTTCAGAGTTTTCCTTCTTTAATTTTAAGGGTATTTTACACATTTTCAAATTTAAATCATGTCTTGACCAGAAAAAGGTACAGATTTACGCATTAAATATAACATCATTGTATATATTTAATGAAATTAAAGGTTAAAAATATAGTTTTTTAATAAACTTAAAACATCGGGTATGAAAATGGAAATAACCCTTGATTTTATGTGCACTTGTAGTGTGATTATTAATGGGCTTTTGGTTAAAAATAATTTGAACATAGAGGCTATTATATAATTCAATATGCAAGTATCATGTATCCTAATATTATCCAACATAAGGCTTTTTAAATTAAAGAGAATTAGGAAACGTGTCCCTTTCAACTTTAATTAGTTGTCTATTCTTTGCTGTCGTCTCTTTTTAAAATGGGCCTACGCAACACACAACATAATCCAGTGCAATAAAGGCCATCCATATTATATGGGATTTTCATCCGTAATGAAAGAGTTTTCTAATCCTAGCACGTAGGGATTTTAGGAGCCTAAAAAGAAAAATAGTAAGAAATAGGTCAATATGAAAAGTTTAAAAAAGTATATAGATTAATTTTAAGTTATAAAAATTAATAGGTCATAATTTATTAAGTTATGATTCATAATCAGATAAATTATGGATAATTGTCAAGTTATGGTTCATAACTAGACAAATTATGAACAAAAACTGAGAATAACTTGTCAAGTTATGGTTCATAACCAGACAAGTTATTATGGATGAAAACAGTAATTCGGCTTATTTATTAACTTATGTAAACTATTGGCCTATTAATTTTAATTCATCTCAAATCTTGACTTATTTTTCTCTTTCTTCCTAAAATTAATTGTCTATTTAGAGCTAAAGTTATTTTTTTACGTTTGGTAAAAACATAAAAAAATGCTTTTAAAAGAATTTGAGGAGAATTTAAAGTTAAAATCAGTCTTTTAATGAAATTTTCATTGTTACCGATATTATCCCTGCTGAATGAAAACAATTCCAGACCCAAAATTTTTTTGCTCTTCTTCTCTCTTGAGCTCTCTCGTCTCCCTCTCTGCTCTCTCTTCGTGCTCTCTATCTCTCTCTCCCCGTTTCTCTCTCTTCTCTCTCTGCTACCCAATTGATTGGAGGAGCATATCAACATTTTTGTGATCGGAAAGAAAGTCCGAGAATATGCATTATTCACGAATCCTTGGCTACACTTTATACAAGAAAACTCCAGCTTTATCTTCGCTTCGGTTCCTTCACAGCACTGTTGGATCTCCTCTACAACGCCTCTACAGAACTCATGGATGGACAAGATCAAAGGAGTATTCACCGGTGAAAAGGCCTCCGATGAAGGACACCAAATCACCTCCGAGTCTTTCACCCTTCTCAGGTTAGTCAACATGAGGCTCTCTTTCTGGATGCGGCTGCAAGGCATTCTCCGTTGGGTAAAGGCAACGATTAAGGAGTAAGGGATCTTCCCTTTTTCAAAACTTATTTTTTTGGGCTTTTTTTTCCTTATTTTCAGAATTTTTTTCATAGTTTTCCTTATTTATTTTAAGGGTATTTTTGACATTTTTTAAGTTAAATGTATAGATTTGTGCATTAAATATGATGAGATTAAAAATTAAAAGTATAATTTTTTAATAAACTTAAAACATCGGGTATGAAAATGGAAATAACCCTTGATTTTATGTGCACTAGTAGTGCAATTATTAATGGCTTTTGGTTAAAAATAATTTGAACATAGAGGCTATTATATAATTCAATATGCAAGTATCACGTATCCTAATATTATCCAACGTAGGGTTTTTTAAATGAAAGAAAATTAGGAAACGTGCCCCTTACAGACCGGACATACAAATTCTTGAAGAAATACAAATAACGGAGAAAAGTTTTGTAGGATAAGGTAGGATCTAGGCAACCCATTAACCTTTCTTTTTCTCCTTCTTGCGGGATACCAAGATCTCTTATTCAAAGCAAACATCACAACTAATCACATTTTGACTAATTGGGTGCCTTGATGAAACCCACATGGGTAGAATTCGCAACCTTTGTCAAGGTCCTCAACTCATTAGCGGCCCAACAGCTTGAGGTTTCCCGGTTGTAAAAGTAGCCCAAACACTTGCAATCCGCCGTGCATTTCTTCTCACAAGCGCTCTCCTTGATTGCCTCTCCACTTGTGTACTTGCACAAGAAATGATCGACCCCAACAATCTTGTAGTAGTGGAAATTACTTGGCTTACAAGAGGTCAACTTTTCGGGTGCACAGCTCGCGCTCCAACCGGCGAGTCCGTTCTTTGTCGGGCAAGCCACACACTGGCTGTCCTCGCAAAGACCGAAAGTCCCGCATCGGCTAGGCAACTGGCACTCATCCTCGTTCCTAGGGGTTTCTCTATCAAAGAAGGAATATGTCAACACAAAAGCCACCCTAACCAATTTCAAATTGTGAGTATAGAGCTTTATATTCCCATCCATTTCAAGCCTTATAAATGTTAAACTGGCATTGTAAAAGGTTCTAGCAATAATATAGGGGTTAAATCTAAGAAAGTAAGCACCAGCCTCGACGTCCTCCTCAAATTCAAATGTCACGTTGTTTATGTCCACAAAATTGCCGGATGTGTAGTAGAGACGTGGCTTTGGAGAGGTCTTACTCTTGTAGTAGAGTGACATTGATCCTTTGGACTCAATTACCAAGCTATAAGGCCCGTCCTTGTTTTCTTTCTCTGAAAGGCGGCTCACAAGCTTGTTTGGACCCCCAACTCTTAGGGACTGTCCCACCAAAATGGTGTCGGTAGGATAATCAAAACTTTGCCATACAAAATTGCCCTTTGAGTTATGAAGGACCATGTTGCCAGTTGGAAGCAATCTGAAGCCAACCACACCTTTGTTGGCCGTATTGGATTGCCAAGCCACTCTGCCATCGGCATTGGCCAGGACTAGGTTTCCGTCGCCTCCGAAGGTGAATGTGGCGTTTTCACCAACCGGGTTGCCCCGGTTGGCCTCCCAAACCCACCGGAGAGTCATCCAGCGAGTGTCGGTTCGGCCCATGCGAAGAGCCAGGGTGTAGGCATTGGGGGTGGTGTTGTAGAAGCAAATTGTGAAAGGAGCACTACTAACAAAGATTTCCGAGAAGAAACGGTAGGTTGCACCATACTCTACGTAAAGAAATTCTCCAAAATAGCCCTCATTTTTGAACTGAAATGTGGCGTTGGGAGGGACTTTTGCTTGAGCAATACTAGTGGAAACAAAGAGGGAAAGAAGGAATACTAGTAGTGTTGGGTGTGAAGAACGCGGTGACATAGTTGTTAATGAAGGAGAAGATATTTTGTAGTTAGGTACTTAAGCCTTGTGTTGGGCTTTCTCTACTTATAAGGATCTTGAAATGCCAAATTTTTTATGACATGTTTGATAGTTATGAGAAGCGGAGGAGGGATTAAATTTCTTGTGTGATCCTTTGTAAATATGTCCAAAACTGGAAAGACAGAAGGATAGAAAATCTTATCCAAAAAATAAATAAAATAAATAAAAATCTTTTATAAATAGTCACATTTAACTTTTTTACTATAGTAAAAAGTTCTCACATAAAATCACATCTCAACTTAAATTAAAAATTTGAATCAGCAAACTAAACGGGTTCAAAATTATTGAGTTATCCTTATTCATAAATAAAATACTTGAGAAATAATAAAAAGTATGAGTAAAATAGTAATTTTATAAATAATGCTACTTTAAAGTTTAAACTTAGGATTGAAAAAAAAAATAAAAGAAAAAACTTAGGATTGAAAAAAAAAATAAAAGAAAAAGGAAACAAATATCTCTTAAAGTGCATAAGTATGAATTTTTATTTCTTACTACTAATTAATATCATTTTTAGTTAAATAATTATATTAATAAAAAAATATTAATTAAGAATCTCCATACACTTCAAGGATAATTTTAACAAAATTTTCTAAAAAATAAATTATGGGTGATTATTTATTTTTCAACATTTAAATCTCTATAACAACTGTTTATTTTATATATTTTTTTAATTTAATATATTTTTTATCAGATTCAACAATTAAAAATTAACCTGTTAGTAGGCCGGTCTATCTAAAAATGTCTCAATAAGTAAAGGATTAACAAATCTTTTCTTTTTTATTTTTTCTATCTTTTATATATATATATTGTCTAGGAAATTTTCACAACTAGGAGAAACAATTGTTTTTTTAGCTGTTAAATTGATTGTTAAGGATTCTATTTGTTGGTACGCATTGCAAAATTTTGAGGTGAAGACTCATAAATATAGATCATTACAAAATTATTTCAAGGTCAAAATAACAGTTTCTATCTAAACAATAATTATTATCATGAAAGAAGTTTCTTTTTTCTTTTTTTTTTTCTTTTCTTTCCATCAAGCATCGTGTCATAAGTTACTTGCTTTGATTTTCATCTTAATTTTTTGTCAATAAAGCGTTGTGGATAAGATATTTGGAAGATTTTATTTTATTTTATCCTTTTCTGGCTTTGACGTACGGTACTCGTATTCAATACTGCTTCATCCATTGAAACTAGTGGTGGGAGCCAAACTTTATTGATTTCTGCACACCCTTTAATGACCATTGAATTCTTCCACCAACATATATAGATATTTATATTCATCGATTGAAGATATGAGAATTCAGTCTCCGTTTTTTTATTAAATTGAGTTTAGGATTTAAATTTTATTACAATAAAATATTTTTAATTTATTATAATAATAAATTTTTACATAAAATTATATTTTAATTAAAATTAAAAATTTAAATTAACGAATGAAACGAATTACTCTAAGAATTGCCATGTTATTTTTTTCGGTAAGTTCTAAATTTGTATTCAATTTTGTGTACTAAAACCTACAAATGTAATTGAATAAATTAATAGATTAATCCAACTGAAAAACTATTACGACCTCATTTATTTTACCGATTCAAATTTTTAGTTTTAGATTTTTACAGTTAAAAGTTCTCAAAAAATATCACACTTAATTTTTTTTGTTACCGTGAAAAGTTTTTAAAAAATATCACATCTCAATTAAAATTAAAAACTCAAATCCGTAAAATGAACGAGACATAAGACTACTAAATTATAATAATATAATACTAGTTTTAGGTCTAAAGGACTTTAAAAAAACAAAAAATGCCCGTCGTTGTCACAAATGTATAATGATCACTCGTCAGTGGATACGTGTACACGTACTTGTAATATTAAATTATCCTTTGTTTACTTGCACTGAACCGAAGTTAATGAAGTGTGTATATATATATATATATATATATGCGATTTCTTGAAGCAGCGAAACTAGTACAACCCTACGATTTCTTGGATTGAATCATTAATTATAAACCCGACGCTATCAATTAGTTAGGGGCTTGAATATCATAGAAGACATTAGAGAAGTCTTGTCACAAACTTGTAGTATGAATTTTGTAATTAATTGCCTTCCTTTTCTCTCTCTCTCTCTCTCTCTCTGAATTTGTCTTAACTTTTAAGGATATTTTGCCATCGCAGGAGTTCAAATACGATGGAACATGCAAAAGGGCGGACGGCTAACAAAGTTATATGGAGCCGACAGATTGCCTCGGAGACTGTAATTAATGAGCAGCCGCCCCGCTGGACCCTCGACCAAAACATGCCATATTCGCAGCGCAGCCTGGCATTGTAAGGCTGCATGCAATTATCCTATATATCTATGGATGGGAGTCTATTCTGATGGCTTTGTCCAGGTCAACATATGCAACAAAATCCACAATGATCTGATCTTTAATAATTTGTTTGAAGCTGATCTACACTAGATTTCGATTTTATCCCAAACGCAAATATCTATCCAGGAAAAAGTTACTTTTTATCTTTCTATTATTAATGAGTCTGCTGATGAGTGACTTTATGGATTAGTGCGCATTAAATTATGATTCTTGAAAATATTACGCAGTGAGGTGATCTTTAGATTATTTGGGATTATTTGGGATTGATTTCCTTGATTAGGGGTTTCATTTTGTTGATTGGGATTGATTTTCAAATCAATTGGGATTGATCTTAATTCTGTTTCTATGCATTTATTTAATTTAGTTATTTAGTTTGCCATTTTAATCACGTAATTAGCCTATAAATTGGCTACATTGTTAGAAGATAATTCACACTATTATGATTGGTTATTGAAAGAATTTCAGAATTGTTCTACCTCCTAAATCTCTTCTCCCTATCCCCAATTTCTCTTCTATTTTTCTCTCTATTTCTCTCAATTTATGTTCTAAGTCTTTTCTCTCCCTCTTCTTTAACTTCTCTATTTCCCTTTCTTCCCCCTTATTCTGCATCACCATGTTAATTTATAATGAATTACATATTTGTTTATTCCTTCCGATAAATCCTTTTATATGTTTTCCCCAATTTATTTAGGTTGGCGACCGTGCTGCTGTTTTGGGTTTTGTTGGAGCACCTTGGACGATAGCTACGTATATAGTTGAAGGGGGTACGACTCGCACATATACAACCATAAAGAGAATGTGTCATACATCACCACATGTATTGAGGGCCCTTCTTTCTCATTTGGCACAGGCAATAACCGAATACATTGTTTTCCAAGTGGAATCTGGTGCTCATTGCATACAAATATTTGATTCATCGGGTGGACAACTAACACCTGAGATGTGGGAGCACAGGTCAAAACCTTATATAGAAGAGGTGAGGTTGAAGGCACATATTACAAATTCTTTTCTTTTGATTCCATAGCTTGATACAAATTATCATGAGTCGACTTTGTTGGCAAGTCAAAAGCCATTGATTTATTAGTCTTTGTTGTACATTGTTTGGTTCTAAATTTTCTTATTTCCATGCATAGACTACATTGTTCAGTAGTAGTTTATGCTTAGAATATCATAATTGGCATCGCCATGAACCTCTATGTTTCAGATCTAAAAAGCTTTTTGCTTACGTAACAGAATTATAAGATATTGCAATATTTAGTTTACTACTGTGTTGCAGTTATCTTATTATGTCTTTTTATTTCCTTGGAAACACAAGAGAGAATTGCATTAAGGGATAATGATCTTGTTTTCTTCCTTGTGTTCATTATATATATTCTTGCAGATTGTGAGAGTAGTAAGAAAGAAATGCCCCAAAACACCTCTTGTTCTATACATCAATGGAAACGGTGGCCTTCTTGAACGTATGAAAGGAACTGGAGTTGACGTCATTGGACTGGACTGGACAGTCAACATGGCAGATGGAAGGAGACGATTGGGTAGTGGGATCGGTGTCCAGGGAAATGTGGACCCTGCTTACTTATTTTCTCCTCTTCCTACCCTTACTGAAGAAATCCAAAGGTTTGTAGTGCGATATTATCTGATTTAAGGACGATATTATCTTATTCAAATTTCATTATTTTTGATTAATTGTATACAGAAACTTTAGATTCTTGCTCATCTTTATTTGGGCAGTGTACTAACAAAACCATAGGTACTGACTACTAACTGAAATATAAAAGATTCCCAGTTGAGAACTGTCAGTTGGATAGAGATTGGTCATTGCAGTTGGTGAGGATTTGAATCCTACATATAGTGGATCAGTTTTTTGATTTTTTGTTTTTTTTTTTTGTTTTTGGTTTAATTAACTAGAAACCAAATATCAATGACAAATGCTATTGACATGAAAAAGATCTGGCACCAAGATTCTAATTGGGTTCCATTGGAACAGAGGCTGGTTTGCAACCTAAATACCCGGTATCAGCCAGCAACTCTAAGGCATATTTTCTCTGACAAATGGAGATCCCAGAAGCTGATCTTGCAACTTCTAAACCCAAGAAGTACTTGAGAGAGCCTAAGTCTTTCATCTTGAAACGTTTATTCAAAGCCATTTTCAAAGAGTCCACGGCTACTTGGTCATTGCTGGCAATGATTATATCATCAACATATACCAAGAGTGCCAAAAAGGAAGTACCACGGGATTGTGTGAATAGAGAGTGATTGGAACTCGATTGTGTAAAGCCTTCTGAAATCAACACCTTGGAAAACTTGTGGAACCATTGCCGTGACGCTTGCTTGAGACCATAAATAGAGTTGTGGAGCCTGCAAACAGCATTAGAAGGCAAAGACTCCCCCTTTCCACAAGAGTAACCAGGAGGAAGAGTCATGTAGACTTCCTCAGTGAGATCACCATGGAAGAATGCATTAGTGACATCAAGTTGATTGAGTGACCAACCAAAAATAGCAGCAAGAGAAAGCAACAACTTAACAGTAACAAGCTTGGCCACAGGAGAAAAAGTGTCAAGGAAGTCTATACCTTCTTGTTGCGTGTATCCTTTAGCCACAAGACGGGCTTTATGTCGTTCAACCGTCCCATCGGAATGAAACTTGGTCTTGTACACCCATTTACAGTCCACCGGGCGTTTTCCAGGAGGAAGACAAACAATAGACCAAGTTTTGTTACTTACCAAAGCCTGTAATTCCACACTCATCACATTACGCCATACCGGAGAAGTAACAGCTTGGGAGAAGGTTTTAGGTTCAATGTGTGAGGAAATGGCCAAAACGAATTCCCTAAAGGGAGGTGCTAACTTGTGCTAACTAAGGAAATGTGAAATCGGGTAAGTGATTGAAGGAGAAGGAACGATATCAGAAGTTGAAGAAAGATGTGTTGCTAGGTAGCAAAGGTAATCAGACAGGTATAAAGGAGGTTTAGTAACCCGTTGGGGTCGAGAAGGGGAAACTGGGAAGGAAGAAATATGAGATGTGGGAGGAGTTGATGAGGTAAGAGGAGAAGGGACATCAGGGGAGACTGAAATGGGTGTAGGAAGAACACGAGCAGTAAATAAATCATGAAGAGTAGAGTGTGGCTGAGATTTTGCAAATGGAGAAATAGACTCATGAAACATCACGTGATGTGAGATGTAGATTTTATTGCTCTCTAAGTCAAGGAGTTTGTACCCTTTATAACCGAAGGGGTAGCCAAGAAACACAGATGCTCGAGCACGAGGGGAAAATTTGGAACGATGATAGGGAGAGGTTGAACCATAGCATAGGCAGCCAAAGGTGTGAAGGTGAGCATATGTTGGTTTTTTATTGTTCAAAAGTTCAAATGGTGTCTTATGAGATAGAAGAGGGGATGGAGTCCTATTAATTAACTATATTGCAGTCAAGACACAGTCCCCCCAATAACCGAGAGGAACACGATATTTAAAGAGAAGGGCACGAGCCACATTGAGAATGTGTTGATGCTTTCGTTCAACGACAGAGTTTTGTTCAGGGGTATCCACACAGGAGTGGTAAGAAAGAATTCCTTTAGAACGAAAGAAATCAGTGAAAGACAGTTCCGGGGCATTGTCGGATCGCACTGACTTAATGGTGGTGTTATATTGAGTGAAAATAAAGTTGTAAAAATCCGGAAAAATAGTAAGAACATCAGACTTGGCACGTAAAAGATATATCCAGGTGGCACGAGTGCAATCATCTACAATAGTAAGAAAAAACCTGTGTCCAACAATTGTTGGAACATGAAAAGCTCCCCAAATATCTATATGGATTAGATCAAACGGTTTAGCAGACAAGTTATTATGGGAAACAAAAGGAAGGCATTTTTGCTTTGCCATGTGACATATTTGACAATGTGAAGATAAATGTGATTAGGAACCAGGAATTTGCAATTTATTTTGTAAAATTTGAAGTTTTACATGAGATGGGTGGCCAAGCCTGTAATGCCATACATCATCTTTGGGAAAAACAGAACATGAAAGAGCAGAATTACAAATAGGAACTCCTAGTTTAAGAAAATAAAGATTGCCATGACGCCTACCCCTCCTAATCGTCGAGCCCTAATTCAGGTCATGAATGAGACACGAAGTGGAAAGAAAATTAACACAACAACGAAGGCTTGAGGTAAGGGCGCTGACACTAAGTAGATTGAAAGTGAACATTGGAACAAACAAGACATTATGCAAAACCAAAGAATCAGACAATTCTATAGTTCCAAGTCGATTTATAGCAACAGTATTTCTGTTAGGCAGAGTTATAGTAGTATACTTGGTGATTGTAGAATGAGAGAAAAGGGAAAGATTGCAACAAACGTGGTGAGTGGCACCAGTATCTACTATCCAAGCATCTCGAGAAATAAATGGGTGAAAAAGAGAAAAGGAAAAGGGAGGGTTACCATAAATGTGAGACACGGAGGGTTCCGGAGCTGTTGAAATCTCAGGTGTGTCGTGAGCTTGAGTGTCGAACTGTGAGCTGAGGAAGGCGATGAGCTGCTGGACTTGGTCAGTGGAGAGAGATCCATATGGTGATGCCATGGTTGCTGCAGCTGTGGGAGAGTATGGCTGTCGTTTGAAGGAGTCGACATGTGCCTGTGGTGTGGATTGAAGAGATCGTTGGGTGAAAGGAGTATGGGCTTGTGCTTGTTGAGGTTGTGAGACTTTGGGCTTGGGCTTGTAACCTGGTGGGAAACCATGTAGCCTATAACAGCAGTCCACCGTATGCCCCGTAATTCCACAATGCGAGCAGATGGGGTGATCTCGCTTTGGCCTTCCAGGAGAGAACGAGGCTGCGGCAGTGACTGATGTTGGAAGAATAGGTGACGACGAGGGGGCGCAGGGAGCGCTAAATGCTAGAGAGTCGCCAGGAGAAGGAGATCCAGATCCGATGGTGCGTTGTCGTTCTTTTTGTATGACGAGGTTGAATACCTTCGGAACAGAGGGCAGAAGATCAATCATCAGGATCTGACCACGCATCCCAGCATAAGACTCGTTCAATCCCATTAGAAATTACATCACGTACTCTTATTGCTGATAATCCATCCAAGCTTTCATACCTCCACACTGGCAGATTGGAATCGGCTGGAAATTTTTGAGTTCATCCCAAAGGATCTTCAGCCGCGTATAATAGGTATTGACCTTGAGGGATCCTTGAGTAAGCCCAGTTAACTATTGCTTAATCTGGAAAATCCGAAGAGCATTGCTCTGGTGGAACCGATCATGAAGATCAGACCAAACGGCTTGAGCACTGTCGAGATATAGAAGACTGTCTGTAATTTCCTTTAACACGGCGTTGAGCATCCAAGAAGTGACTATGTTGTTGCAGCGAGACCAGATGTTTGCAGTGGGATCAGTCGTTTGTGGTTACGAAAGACTGCCATCGACGAAGCTAAGCTTATTTTTAGCATTAAGGGCCATGACCATAGAGCCGCTCCAGGTATTGTAATTAGGGCCAGTAAGAACGTGAGAGACGAGAGTCAAACCAGGGTGGTCTCCACTGTGTAGAAAGAAGGGACTATGAATGTTGTCCATGTGAGAAGAAGAATCAGTTGATGGAGAGGTAGGAGCGATTGGTTGGAAACGATTAGTATTGTTGTTGTTATTATTTTGATCACCACGGGCCATAGCTTAGAAAATATCAGAGGAAGATAGAGCAGCAAAAAGGGAAGTGCTCTGATACCATATTACAAATGGTAAAATGGAGGAATGAATAAAATCGTTCTCATTCATTGTTGACAGTCCAGAGAGGTTCTACATATAGGAGCTCAAGAGGCTCAACAATCTAGGATAACAAACTTTTTGTAACAAACTTCCTACATAATACTCCACGATCTTTTGTCCTATAGCAAAACATAAATAACGAAAGGAGAATTAATGAATAACAGATTTCCTAATATGCTAAGAATTTTGTTTCTTAATATTAATTCAGTTCCCATATTTTTCATCTTCTCCAAACTGAGAGAATCTCTTTGTCAGGGTTGTAAGATGTGCGGGACCGAGAGGACACATTCTGAATCTAGGACACGGTGTTCTTGTCAGAACTCCAGAAGAAGCCGTTGCACATTTCTTTGACGTCTCAAAAACGTTGAAGTACGATGCGCCTCAAAATCATGCCATAGAGGAACCGAAACTGGTAGCTTAAGGTACAGTATTGGTTTAAGCACACCTAAGCATTTTTTTTGTTTATAAATTTGGCTTTTGGTTCGGAGTTAACAGCTTGTTCCAGAAATAGGCATGCAATTGGTTTTGCTATTAGCTAGTGTGCAGGTAAGAAGTTGACTGAAGCCCTGAGTTTCTTTTTACATGATTAAGGGTGAGCATGCTAATTCAATAAATCTCTCTGTAACTAATGGTATTTTGACTAATGAACTGTTAGTTTTACTACCTGTCTAGTACGGTTTTTTTTTTCACACGCAGACGGAGGAGATGCAAGATTGATTTTAGGAATATTTACATTTTAATACCCTGCGTTTTAGGTTTATTCAAAAAGTATACTTTCGGTTTCAAATTTCATCAAGTATATAGCAGTAAGTTAGATTTAATAAGCAAATACATACCCTTACTGGGTTAACATGACATTTTGACTAATAAAATGGCTAAAATACCATTAGGAAAAGAAGAATAAAATACTAACAAAAAAGAGGAATAAAAAACTAGAAAAAGAAATAAAAACGCAAACTAAAAGTTTCTTCCCACTAAAATCTCACAGAGGCGTCCCCCTCTTCTATCTTCCAAATACAACAATCAGACTCATCCTACTTCCTAACTTGATGGGGAAGCCTTTTCTTCTAGCTTTCGGAGATCCTCAAACTTTAGATCTTTTCATTTGATTCAACATCATAACTAGTGTTGGAACTTTGGACGGGCCGCCTACGACCGCCCGAAAAAACTGAGTTTTTACCCGAGCCCGAGCCCAACCCACCCGAAAAATTCAGGTCGCCCGCCCAAGCCCGAATTTCCCCTTGAACGGGCCATGAGCTTGTGTTAGTCCGCCTGAGCCCGGCCGGTCCGCCCGAGCCCGCCCGATTTGCCTGAATTTTTTTTAAATATTTTTTAATTTTTATAATTATTAAGTTAGTTTGTGTCAAAATTATGTAAAAATCAAAATCAACATTCAATAGATATTATTAACACAATTGAATAAATTAATCATGTATATTATTGATGTATTAAATTCGTAATTCATGATTATCTCGTTAAAAACCTTACTAAGAAAAACTCAATTGGGATAAAAACTTGGCAAAGAAAAAAGAGTGCAATCATTTTGTGACGAATTAAAAATTTTACAAACTTACAAAGTTATACAATTACAAATACAATGTCAAAAGTAAATACATATTTACAAATTATAAATTTATAATTTAATTTGAAGCTGAATGATCGTCTTCAAAATTAAATGTTAATCGATTAAATTCATCAATCCATTCTTGGCTTACCGGTGAAATTTGCTCCTGTAGACGTTGATCGGCCCGATCCTAATCCTTAATGCAAACCAAGACTTCAACAATATCCCTTTGCAATGCATTCTGGTGTTCCTCAAGTATTCTTCCTGTCGTACTGAAGGCTTGTTCGGATGAAATAGTGGAGACTGGGATCGAAAATATATCAATTGCCAATCGAGTTAGGATTGACCAAGTTAATGGCCGTGTCCTCCACCATTGAACTAAGTCAAATGATTTTGCCGTACCGCTGACTACTAAGCCTTCACTGAGGTACGCCATAAGCTCGTTAAAGCTGTCACCGCCACTGCCACTGCCACTTGTTGATGAAGATTCACTCACAGCTTCTGTTTGAGTTGTCTTCTTCTTCTTCTTCAACCCGAAAACATTCAAGAATGAATGCGAGTTTTCATCTTGTTGTTGTGGGTCCTGTACTCTATGAGGTACTCTAAACCTAATCTCATATTGACTATAGATCGAATATATTTTATCCTTTATTATTGGATATTGGTCCTTACAATTGATGCCTAAAAAATCACCTAAGTTTTCTAAACCACTTTCTAAACCTTCTAATTTTAATCTATGATAAAAAATAGTACCTAAACTATACAACAAAGGCAACTTAGACCAATATTTTATAAATTTCTTTTCCATAGAATGGATAGGAAATGTTAAGATTAGGTCTTCCCTATATTCGCTAAATAAAATATTAATTCGTGAAAGTTCTCCTAAAGCTAAAGGTGATGCTGGGTAATATGTTCCACTAAGTTTTAGAGTCACTTCATGAAACCTACCTAAAAATTGATACAAAACTTTGACAATTTGCCAATCATATGCGTCTATATGTCCTCCTCCTACTTTTGCACACATATAGTTTATTATAGCATCCTTATAGGGGATGCATTGTTGAAGCATTATGTAAGTTGATTTCCATCTTATAGGCATATCTAACGTGTTGGGAATAGTGTCCTAGAAGCATAAGATGTAATAGGATATTTATTATTTAAATAATAAAAGAGTTTATTCATCATTTTATGTGCATATATTTATGAATATTTTATGAATATCAAATGAAAATTCCCTGATTATTTATGTAACCTTAAAAAGAGTATATAAGTGTTATATACGAGAGGATATTGTTTGAGGATAATAATAAAAAATATTGTTCATAATGAATTTAATTAAAGTTCGGAATCTTTAATTAAAAAATTATCAATACATGTCATTCCCATTTAGAATGGAACGGTGCTATCCGCACTGTTAATATGGTGAGATATTGAATGAATGTATTTCGTGTAATGAGATTGTGTGGAACAGGGACACAAACACAATATGAATTTCTAATAATTTTCGTTAAGCACAGAAATTCTAATTGAGTCTACCGATGGTCATATTGTTGGGAATGGTGTCCTAGAAGTATAAGGTGTAATATGATATTTATTATTTATTTAATAAAAGAGTTTATTTATTGTTTTACGTGCATATGTTTATGAATATTTTATGAATATCAATAAAAATTCCATGATTATTTATGTAACCTTAAACATTGTATATAAGTGTTATATACGAGAGGATAATGTTTAAGGATAATAATCAAAAAGCAATGTTCATAATGAATTTAATTAAAGTTTGGAATCTTTAATTAAAA